TTTGCTCATGCTCACCCTCTCACTGGAACCTTCTGTCTCCCCATGGTCCCACTCCCCAACTCCACCCTGGCTGATAAATAAGCAGGAGTCTCCTCAATGCTCAAAAAACCTCTCCCTGCCTGCCTGGGTGACTCCAACTGGCTCCTGTCATGTCCCCTTTCTGCACCTCCAGACTCCTCCAGGAGGTGACCCACACATCCTGCCCCCAATGCCACTGCCTCCCACCTGCTCACACACAGCCATCTGCCTTTGGCCCCCACTATTCCACGCATATCAATGACCTTCTGTGTCCAAAGCCAGGGGTCACTGCCCCCCTCTAACTGACCACACCTGCCCTGGCTTTCCTCAAGTGTCTCTTGAGTCTCTCCCGCCTCTCTTCCTCCTGTCCAGGTCCACAGTTCCATTTGTGGCTTGGGTGTGGCCACTAAAATGCCCTCAGGGGCGCTGGCTCTCAGGGGCCCCCAGCAAGGCCCATTCTTGCATCCAAGGATGGTTCCTGGGCAGAGGTGGAGCCTGGTCCCAAAGGGGTGACAAAGCTGCGTTTGAGGGCAGGAGAGCTCTGCGTGGGGGAGGGTCTTTGCAGTCAGGGGCAGCCTCTGGATGAGAGGGGATGATGTAGAAAGGGAAGGAGACTTGGAATTGGGGAGCTATCCCCCAGCAGGGCCTGGCCCAGTCTTTCTCAGTCTTTCTCTAGCCCTGAAGTCCTGACACTGGCAACCCCACAATGCCTGTAGCCCCGGAGCCCTGGGGCTGCTCATGCAGCTGCTCTTGCACGGTGTCCTGGCCTGGAGGCCTCCAAGGGTCCAGTTCATTCCCCAGAACCCAGCTAGGCTCATGTCCTCTCCTTTTGGATCCCTCACAGAGTTAGATACAGTTCCGAGCGGCAGGGAGGACCTGGCCTGGGGGACCTCTAAGAATACATTCCCCAGCTGGGAGCCTCCGAGCCTCTGGCTGCTTATCTTCCCCTGCTGATAGATGGATGTTGCCGGGGAGGCTCCTGCCAGCCCCACAGAAGCCCTTGGAGGCTTGCCTGACCTTCAGTGCAGCTATAAACAGCATGGCCTGTCAGCACTGCTAAGAGCTGCCCAAGAAACAGCACTGCGTGCTCCAGCGGCCCTGAAATTCCAGGCATTGCTGGCACAGCTACCCCAGAATAGTCTCAGCCTGTCCCCCTTCCTCTCCCCAGAGACCCTCTGTCCTCAGCATGTTCCCACCACAGCTGGGAGAGTCTGATAAATAACTGGAACCAAAACCCACAGAGGAGGAGAGGCCTCTGGGCTGGTGCTCCAGGTGAGCCTGCAGGTGGGGTGCCTGAGACCCTAGGGACAGAGGGCTTCCAGTAGAGAGGCAGGCCCCTCCTGGGCCCAGGCTCAGCCCCCTAACTCCACCAGTCTCACAACTTGTCCTGGTAGACACCAGGTGGAAAGTTTTCATAAGTGCCTGTTAGAAAGAGCTCCCACAAGTGTGGAAGGCATTATTTATTTATTGATGTATTTTTGAGATGGAGTCTCACTCTGTGAGACTGGCCTCCCCTGTGGTTCTGCTCATGCTCACCCTCTCACTGGAACCTTCTGTCTTCCCATGGTCCCACTCCCCAACTCCACCCTGGCCGATAAATAAATGGGCGTCTTCTCATTCAAAAAGCCTCTCCCTGCCTGCCTGGGTGGCTCCAACTGGCTGTGCCTCCCCGGATTGGGAGTTTTCCTGACTCCCCAGACTGGAGTGCAGTGACACGATCTCAGCTCACTGCAACCTCTGCCTCCTGGGTTCAAGCTATTCCCCTGCCTCAGCCTCCTGAGTAGCTGGGATTACAGGCATGCGCCACCACACCTGGCTAATTTTTGTATTTTTAGTAGAGACAGGGTTTCACCATGTTGGCCAGGCTGGTCTCCAACTCTTGACCTCAAGTGGTCCGCCCCCTTGGCCTCCCAAAGTGCTAGGACTACAGACACGAGCCACCACACTCGGCCTGCTATCCCCATTTTAAGGGTGAGAAAAACTGAGGCTGAGCAGGTAAACCGACTTCTGAGGCAACACAGCTGAGAACAGCGGGGCCTAACAAAGCATACTCGTCTTCCCCAAGGTGGGGGCATGAGAGGCGTGAAGAAGCGAGAGCCCAGACCAAGGTCCCGGCCTCTGGCCAGCTGCCAGGGCAGAGTCCGGGCTGGGCCTCTGGAGCTGCTCCCTCTCTGCGCTTCTGCCCCCTCCCCACTTCCTGGAGAACTAGCTGGGGTGGGGTGAAAGGGCAGCTCATGTTGCAGGCCCAGCCACACCTGTCCAGGATAAATAAAGGCATTTCCCTGCCACCCTCCGCTCCCGGTCTCCCTCTTGAATCCCCTTCTCTGTGAGTCCGCAAGAGGAGACCCTCTGAAGGGAGGCCTTGAGGGGCTGCTGCCGCCCCAAGGTTGCTGCCATGGACCCCCGGGAGCCACCACCCAGCCTGCAGGTGGCCTGTGTCCTTCCAGGAGGAGCTGCAGCACACACCTGCAGCTGAGAGGGGACAGGTATCCCCAGTGCCTCTCTAGTAGTCCCAGTCAGAGGGGTGAGCAGGCCAGCATGGGAGTTGGGGTGAGAGGACACAGGAGATCCACCCATGGCCATCCCTGTCCTGTGAGCAAACTCCAGCCTCAGTTTGCCAGGCTCTGAAGTGAGGTAACGATCCGAGCCTCGCTTGCCTGCCCACCCCACAGGGTCACACACTCTTGCCTATGGTGCCCTATGGCACAGGCTCAGGTCCTGGCTGGGGTGGCAGTGGAGTTCCTCCAGAGAGCTCTGGCCATGCCTCCCCCGTAGGGGGATGTCCCTGGTGCAGAAGGGCCCTGCGAGCCCCAGCAGTAAATCCTACAGCCCTGGTGGGATGGCAGGGCTGTGTCCACAAGGCCTGCCCTGCCAGCGGCACGGAACCAGGACACAAGCCCAGGCTATCAGCAGCCCACCACCAAAATTTCTCAAGAGGTTCCAAGCCCTGGGAAGGGCTCCAGTTCCCAGTCCAGCCTGCTCCACAGCTCAGGTGATTTGGGGTATGCCCCTAAAGGAAGCCGAGAGGCCATCATGCCCATCCCCCAGTGCCCTGCCTGGGCTTCGGGTTCTATTTTTAAAAGTCCCCCCAGTCATTGGATCCAGCACATCCCTGCATACCCCCTCCCCGGAGTAAGGACATTCCTCCTGTTATCTAGCTTAAGGCCTCTGGGCTGCCATTTAAGCCCCTGGCTGGCTGGGGCCAGGTGGCACATAGACCCTGGGTGAAGTCATTGGCTATCCTGAGTGCCAGTGAGCCCAGTGGCCAATTTGCACCCATAGGGATAGGGCAGGGAGCACCAGCAGGAGGCCTGGAGATGGTGGAGCTGGGGGAGATGTGGGCTCAGTCTCAGGCAGGGGAGGCCACAGGGCCCATGAGAGAGCACACAGAGGCTCCACCTTGTACAGGAAGGAGTCCTGCAAGCATGGGGGTGGGGAGCTGTGCAGGGCAGTGGGAAATCCACTGGGGCTCACATGCCCACAGGTCGCCACCTCATGCAAAGTGTGCAAAGCTGTGGGTTTCCAGGACCCTGTGGTCTCCAGGGCAGTAGATCTGGAGGGGTGGAGTCTCCAGGTTAGAACAAGCCACATCTCCAACTGAAGGATGGAGGGCAGGGCCTGTTCCCTGTGCCACAGCCAGGCCAGCACCCACCCTGGAAGCATGTGGCCTCTATGGCTATTATAAGGCTCTCACAGCATCCCTGGGTGGGGCTTCTACTTCTGGGGTTCCCCCAAGTACCCATGGAACCAAAAACAGAGACGACTACTCCAGTGGTGGCGTTGGCTCCTGACCCTCTGCCCAGGCTCCCTGGTCCCTCTGCCAAGCACCTTCAGGCCTTGCCCACTTCAGTGCTTCCCTTCCAACCCCTTCCTCCAGCCCCCAGGCCCAAGGCAAGTCCCAAAGGCCCCAGAGAAGAAACTGTCCCCTTGTTCCCCTAGTGGGCAGTAGCCCAGATACCACTGCCCACCCACTACCCTCCGGTGACAGCCTGGGAGCCTCCCGCTCCTGACTTGTGACCAGAACAGCACGGCCAGGGGCTCAGCCACCAGGCAGGGTTGTCCTTGCCCTGTATGCCTCACAGTTCATCCTGAGCCTTGGGGTCTTCAGCCCTGGGTCTACCAGTGCCTTGCTGGGGAGTCTCTTTGTTTGACAAATACTGACGGAGCGCCTACTACGGTCTAGATGCTGTTCCCCCGTCAGTCCCTGTTCCTGGAGTGCTTCCTTGGGAGCATGGCTAGCTTTCTGCCTCTCTGGTGTTGCTGTCTCCAGCCAGGCAGTAGAGTTACTCAGACAACCCGATGTTCTGTGTCATCTACATTAGGCCGTGCTGCTTCCCATCACAGACACTGCAGGACAGGGGGCCATCTCACCAGGCCCCAGGCTTGAGGGGAACAAGTGAGACAGACAAAGCGGCCACAGTGAATGGGGAGGACCACCCAGCCCCATGAGCCAGGATGCTGGTGTCTCAAGTTTGGGATGGAGCCGGTGCCCAGTACTCAGTCCAGCCCAGCCCCACACTCTGACAGCAGGACAGCCAAGGTCAGCAGCCTGTTTGTCCATCTATCGAACTGCCCATCACCTGCCCTCTCCATGCTGGGAATGCTCCCTTCCCAAAGCAGCTGCCCACATCTAGGGAAATGCTAAAGGCTTGGGGGCACCCTAAGCCCACTCTAACAGTGAAGGGATCAGGAAGGCGCTGTACTCTGTCCAGCTACCTGCCTGCCTGCCTGCCTGCCTGCCTGCCTGAAAACTCAGCATTTTCTTCTCTGCTAAAAACACCTACCACCTGCTCATGATGTCTCACATGCATAACAGGCCGGCGGGCTCCTGTGAGCAAACAGCTGTGGCTGAGACCAGAGGACCAGGCCGGTCCCAGGGGATGGGGCGTGCTCTGCTTTCTGAGAGGCTCAGAAAGGACAGACAGACACACACACAGCGTGCCCGCCCCGTCGGGTGCCAGGCTGTGGCAGGGTGCACTCACCCGGGAAATAGTGAGGGGCATGTTGAAGTCCTTGCCCCCCTGCAGACGGAAGCCCCAGGGCCCAGGCCCAGTCAGGGTCACACTGTAAGACATGCTGGTGCTGTCAGCGGCCGCCTCTGCAGACAAAGGGTAGAGAGGTTTGAGTGAGAGGGCACTCAGGCACTCTGCCTGCCCGGTCCACACCTCTGCCCCTGCCCCTGCCCCCCAGCCTTGCCTGCTCTGTCCCTTGCTGCCCAGCTGGGCTGCGTGGAGCTCTTGAGAGGCTCCTAAGAATAGCTGGGAGCGAATGCCATCGACACTGATATCTGCCCTCGGCTGCGCCCATAAATGGACTGTAACCCTACACTGTCCCGCCCGCCCGCGGCCTCCCAGCCGGTCCACCGTGACTCACACGGCTAATATAGCCCCTGGGGAGGGGTGTCCGGCACCCAGCACCCCCAACGGGGGAGGAAGGGGGACTGGCCAGGTTGGTGAGAATGCTCTGGTCTCCTTGCTCCTGTGTCCTCTGGAGAGCAGAGACACTCGCTCTTCCTGCTCCGTGGTACCCATCCTCTTGCTCAGAAGACTGGGGGTTGAGCTCCCTTGGGCAGGGGCTTTGCTGCCATGTGGTCCCTGCCCAGGATTCTGGGGTTGTGCTTTATCCAGTGTGGGGTCCTGGAGGTAGCTTGGCCTGAACTGAGCCTGCAGCTAGTCTGTGACTGGCCAGGGTTGTCCAGCCATAAAAATGATCATAATAGCAGCAGCTCCAGGCATAGCCAGTCTCAGCATGCGCCCTTCACTCCCTGGGATCCTGAGAAGCTGCCACCTGGACCCACAGGAGACAAAGCTCAGGGAGGTTAAATGACTTCTCCAAGGTCACACAAGGAGTGGACCCAGGCCACGCTGGAGCCTGGGCTGATTCTTACAGGATGCATGCCAGATAATGGGCTCCCAATGGCCACAGAAGCCTCCCAAAGCCCTGGTCCTGGGCAGCTAGCCCTCTGCCTGCACCCCTTGGCACAGGGTCTGAAAGCAGGTCTGAGGTAGGCCCATCCCCTCCAGACCCTCTGGGGGCCTAGCCAGTTATTCCTGGCTCTCCTGTCTTATTTGTGCTCTGGAAAACTTGACGGCAGCATGGAAAGCTCCAGCTGCCAGTGCCACACGCCAGGCCCCGTGCCCTTTGCGCAGGAATGGCAGGGGGCAGGGAGAAGGGAGGAGACGCCATTTGCTCAGCTGCTAGACACAGGCCAGGAGGGGCAGGGAGGGGGAAGCACGTGTGGCATGTTCAGCCTGTACCCCAGAGACAGGGTGTTCTGGATGGGGGCCTCAGCACCTTGGGACTTCTGCCAGGGTCTTTGGGCCAACCCCTTCCCCAAGAAAGACCTCAGGCCCCTATGTGGTCTAGAGATAGATCAAGGCCCGCTCTGGCTCCTTGGTTGGAGAAACTGAGGCTCAGGGGAGGCAACTGGGTTGGCTGCTTGCTGGCCCTCTTGGAGAGCTCTGGCTTGGACCCTGAGGAGTCAGTAGAGGCCTAGATATGAGTCATTTCTCAGCTTCCAGCCTCACTCCTGGGGCCTGGCACATGAGGATCACCCATATTACGGGGTTGTTTTGTTCTTGCCCAAAGTCACAAAACTATCAAGCGGAAGAAGCCGGGAAGACTGTCCTTTCCCCTGCTTAATCACCTCCTTCATCCTATATCACGCAGCCCAGCCCAGGAGGCCAGCAGTCCATGACCAGCGTCCCTCCCCCGTACCATTCGCTGTCCCTTTCTGCAAAGCCCCATGTCATCCATCCCTAACTCCAGCCTTATTCCCTTTCGTAGGGGTGTCTGTCCATCCTGCCAGGCTGGAGAGGACCCAGCAGCAGGGCATAACCAGTGTGGGAGAAGGAAGGCGCCCACCCCCAGGGCCAGGGAGCTGGGGGAGGCTGTACCTGGAGCTGCACGCTCTTTCTCTGGCCTCTGGCTCCTGCCAGATGAAGCTCGCCTCTGGGGAAAGGAAGGGGTGGCAGGAGAGTGCTCTTAAAGGCGAAGGCCGGCCTCCCTCCATCTGCCTCCCTCGGGAGACGTGAAGCCAGTCAGAGAGCAGCTGGTACCCATGCGCTGGGCGGAGCTCAACAGCTCACTGGTGAGTGAGTGGGGACGGAGGCCAGCCTGGCCTTTGTCCCTTCTCTGCTGTACTCCCTGCAGTTTGAGGTGGGCCTCAGAGTGAGAGTCCCAAGAGTGGTGACAGAGGGAGGAGAAGAAGTGAAGTTGCTGGAGGCATCAGAGGCCAGGCCCTGGTTCTCTCCCATAATAGCACCAACAGGTAGAGACCATATTTTGTCTGAAGACACCTTCTCCACTTTTTATTTTCCTATACCCTGTCAGATCCACACAGCCCTGGGAGGAGCTTACATGAAATTATTCATTCCATTACATGAAATGAATTATAGAGGCAGAGTGTGCACGCATGTGCTTGGTGTGCATTCAAATAGGTAACTATGAGAGAGCATGCCTGCAAATGCCCGTGTGCACAAGAATGTGGGCCACAGTGGAACGGTGCGCTGGGGGAAGAAGCCAGAGGTGAGTAACTGCTCCAGTGTGCAAAGGGAGGTCTGTGCTCAGCTTCAGCTGTTGGCAGTGGGAGATGTGGAGCTGGCCTTCCTATGCCAGTGACAGGCCCAGCCTGCGGACAGAGGCTCATAAATAGCTGGTGTGTTCTCTGGAGCCATCACCATTGTCATCGCCTGGACAATTGCAGCACACAGCATTTGAGGAGAGGCAGACAACTCGGGAAGCGGGAGAGCCTGGGCACACACCCCTCAGGCTGGGCCTGGGATGCGGCTGCTGAGCTGGAAAGTGGGTGCGGAGGACGTTGTGGGGCAGGAGTTTTGAGGTGTGGAGAGGGGACATGGGGCTAGGGCTGCGAATCCTGTGCAGCATGGGTGACAGGGCCACTTCCAAAGCCTGCAGGCTCACAGCGTAATCCTGGGTCTGTGTACATGAGGGAGACATGGGGGGGCTGGATGTGTCCCAGAAGAAAGGGAGAGCCAGTGGGTGTCCTACATCCTGGAGTTCTTGCAGGGGAGCAGCCCCTTGGTCTGCAAACAAACAGCACGCATCTGTTTAGCTGAGGAGCAGTTCACTGGGGGCAGTCTCCCGATGACCTGCCACACGCTGGGTCACCGAGCGGTGGGGAGGTTGCAAGGAAGGGCCAGGTTGTGTGCTGGGTCAGGGATGGGCCTTCCCAGAGTCCACATCCCAGAGTAGGAGCCAGTAACGCCTAACGCTGCCTGCAGAGCATCTCCTGGGATGCTCCCTGGGCTCTTGACTCCCGGGGTCACAACTGAACTCATCCTCACCCCCATCATCCAATCCTCTCCTCTCCTCTCCTCCACATGTGGAGACTCTGGCATCACCCCCGCTCCTGCTGCCCTTACATGGGTCACTCCTTGCCTGCCCTGTGGCGCTTCCTTCCTCTAGTCTTTACCCTGCAAAGCTGACCAACCCCCTCCCAGGGCTTCCTGCCCCTAGGTCAGGTCTGGAGACACCTAGGCCAGTCCCTGATGGGGCCTTGCCTTCCCACTGCTCCTACCACCTCCGGCCCGTCTTCCCTTCTCCTATGTCCCCCACTGCCAATCCGCAGGGTCCCTCTGGCTGCTCTCAGGGTCACAGAGAGACATCCTGTTCCAGGACATATTGAGCTCCCTCCCCTGTGCCCCTGTGTTTGCACAGTCACACAGGCTGTCTCCTCATCCTGGACAGATCAGTGCTCCCCCCACTCCCCATCCCTGCTGCCTGCAGATCCCTGCTTCACCTCCACCTTCCTGGGGAGCCTCAGGGACTTGCCTCTGCTTTCAGTACCCTGCGTGCTCACACCTCGATGGCAGCGCTTATCACATGTGTGTGGTGATTGTTGATGGCTGCCCAGCACCCCACCCCAGCCTATCCCTCCAAGACAGGCACTGTGTCTTTCATCAGTGCCTGGCCAGCCTGGGGGTCACTGCCAGGACTTTGTCCTGGCATTTATGGCATGCACAGTGCCTGGGCTCCAGGACAGGGGGCGGTGCCCCCAAGGGGAATGCTGAGAGAGGCTGAGGCTACCCAACTGCAGGTACAGCCCAGGACTTTCGTTCTTGGATGCACAGGGACACAGCACTCAGGAAGGAAGGAAGGCAGGAATGTGCCTTTGGCCTTGGACTAGCTAGGGAAGCCAGAGAGCCCAGGAGCTGAGCTGGGAGTGTTGTGTGGGTGTGACAGGAGGGACAGATGGGGAGCTGTCAGCTGGGGCGAAGGGCTGCTTGGGAGCCTGTGCACACGACATTTCCAGTGTTCTAGAATATGGCCTTCTCTAATCGCCATCGACATTCCGTTCCATAGGCACTTGGGCCGACAGCTGGCCTTCTTTTAATAGCCACAAGTATTCTGGGTGACATCCTGATCTCAGGGCATTTATGGTGAGCACATCCACAGCTTGCAGCCCCTTCCTCCCCAGGTATGTCCAACCTTGCAGTCACACAGCGAGGCACACACCACCCACACTCACTCATATACACAGCTTAAAGCAGACACATTGGGGCATGCTGTGTCACGTGTCACTGGGTGTTACAGTGACAGAGCATGTGCCGGGCACATGGCCACACACATGCTCGAGCTATGTTCTGCCGTCTGCAGACCTCCTACTCTTATCAACACACACATGTACACTTATCATGGCACAGCACAGCCAACAGCACCGTGCAGAGTCAGAGTTGCATGATCACACACACATACACACACGCAGACCACATGCAAGCCTTGCTCAGAGCATCTCGGAGTCACAGAGACCCCCAGGCAGACAAGGAAAAGCTGAGAGGTGCTGGGAGCAGGTGATTCCTGGAGGGCATTGCCCCTGCCCAAGAGAACAAGTCTCCCTTTCCTGGCCTCTCCCTGGGCTACTGACCCCTAATCCCCACCCCTTTACGGATTGGCAGGTACCGGGCCCAGTCACCTTCCCTGGAGTCTCTGCTTCCTGTCCCTGGGGTCTGGGGGGCGCCTTGGCTTCCAAGTCCTCCAGACCCTGACCGTAGAGGGACCGCCCATTCGCTTGCTGGGCGGCTCCCCACACAGCTGCTGCCTCCATGTGTGTCCAGCCCTGGGGGAGGTGAGAAAGTGACTGTGAGGTGAGAGGAACAGTCCGTAGCTTTGCTCCTGCCCTTACCCCACCAGGTCCTCCTCCGTCCTCCCAACAGGTATTCATTGCGGGAGGCCCCTGACACCATTTGCATGGCTGCTGGTCACCAGATAAACCCCGTAAATTGTGCGTGCCTATGCTAGGGTATGTGTGTGTGTGTGTGTGTGTGTGTGTGTGTGTGTGTGTGTGCAGGTTTGCTCCCCATCTGCACACCTGCAGACCTCCCTAAGAAAGTGGCTATTTATATTTTTGAATACATGGGTGGTCTTCACGAGGGTCTAGGCCTCCATTAACAGATTAGATTTCTCCTTGGTGACTACAGTGGTTTACAGGAGGGACCCCTGAGAGCTCCTCTCTCAGTCCCTCAACCAAGACACCTGAGGATGCAGGCAGTGGGAGGAGATCACTGGCCGGCCAGTCGGCGGCAGCTCTTGCTGAGGCCCATAGAGGGCGCTGTAGGTAGAATTAAGGAGGAGCCCAAGTGTGGCTGGAATAGGAGCCAGTGGTGCACAGAGCTTTCCTGGGGGCATCCAGGGGCAGCAGAACTGCAGGCACCAAGGAGGGCTGACACCCACCCTGGGCACACCTGGCCAGCGCTGATGTGAGATGCCTGTTTTCCCTTTCAGAGGAGGGTGTGGAGCCTCAGAGGGGGTAAGTGACCTGCCCAGGCTCCCACAGTGAGCATGTGGTAAGCTGAGGCTCAAAGCCACATCTCCCATCTCCAGGGCCCATGACAATCCTGTGAGCTCTTCAAGGCTCCCAGGAGGAGGGGGCTTAATGCTGAGGAGCAAGGAGCTCCAAGCTAACTCCTGCCTTGACTCTCTGGAGCCCTATCTAGGGCCAGATGTGCTGATCTCTTCAGGCTGCGGCTCTAGGGAGAGTGTCAGTGTGGAAAAGGAGATGGCCTGGAGTTGGAAGACCTGTGTTCAATCCTGGCCCTGCTCTTGGGAACCCCCAAACCATCCCCTCTCTGGCCCTAGTGCCCCCGCCTATCAGGGAGGATTATGAACTCCATGGGGGTGTTGGGATGGTCTCTTCCTGTCAGGGTGCCAGCGTCCTGAGGGTTCCTGAGTCTCAGAGGTAGCCCCACCAGGGCCCATGCTTCCCCCAGAAACCCAGGGCTGCCTGAGGAAGGGATGGCCAGGTGCAAGCTGGCGAAGACCCAGCATCCTTACCACCTCACTCTCTGAGCCCAGGGACTCCTGGCGCCTCCGTCCAGAGATCCAGCTGAGGTTGGAGGTATGGCTGATCAGCGTGGAGCGGTGGGTGGAGCGGTAGCTGGGGTAGGGGTGACTGTGCCGGCGTGATACACCCAGCAGCACCCCCAGGCAGGGCAGGTGCTGGGCAATGGCCACCCTGCAGGGGCCGCACATCTGATTAGGGCCAGGGGATGGGCAGACAGAGGCAGGGGAGGGGATGGATGCACAGGGTGGTACAGGCCTAATGTGTGGTGACTGAGAGCCTCTGGGGAAATGGGGAGGCTCAGACCCTGGAAACTATGGCAGGTGATGAGGACAGAAAGACAGATGCTGGGTGGGGAGATTGACAGGCTCACAGGGCTGGTGGGAGGAACAGAGAGATTCTGGGGTAGGCATGCAGGGAGAGCCTGGGGATGTCAGTTCCAGCCCCCAAGTGGTTGGGTCAAGCCACATCTCTGGTAGTGGAGACCAGGGACACTCCCGAGCAGCCTCTGTGCTGGACGGGTTCAGGCCTGCCACTGGCCTTGGGAAGGCGGTGAGTGACGGACACCACCAGGCAAAAGGAAGCACTGAGGGAGAAGCGGCCTTGCCGGGTTGCTATCAGCACGCATACTGGCCCAGAGCCACTCCAGGCCCCTGCCAGGCCCTGGGAGCAGAGCTGAGCTCTCCCTGCTGTGGTCTCTTCAGGATGACACTATCAGGGAGGGCAGTGGGGGAGGGGCTTAAATTCACAGGGCTGTCCTGGCTGCCCTACACCCCAGGTCTGAAAGGTCCCATAGTTAGGATTGGATACTGCCCAGGGAACCCTGACCTCCCTCCACACCGTGCCCCCTGGGAAGCTGGGGTAGGGGAGGGAGGCACACCAACTCCAGACCCCATTCAGTGTCACTAGCCGCTCCCAGCTGCTGGTGGCCCCCATCCGACACACATACAAGAGACAGGAAAGGTGGTGGCCTCTGCCCCCATCTGCAGGCCAGGCCCTCGGAGGCCAAGGCTGGGGTTCTGGAAAAGAGCCACACCTGTACTTGGGGTGGGTGATGGCGTAAATGATGGGGTTGTGGATTGCAGAGGCCTTGGCGATGACGGCTGGCACCGAGCTCATGTAGGGTGTCAGGACATGTGCGTACCTAGGACAGAGAAGGTGTGGTCCCCAAGCTAGCTGGCTCTCCTGATGCACCTTCTCTTCTGGGCCAGGCCCTGCCAAAGCCCACATCCTAATCCGGCCCAAACCAGCACCTCTAAGTCAGCCCCACAGGGAGGAATTGGCAGTGCCAGGATAATTTTTTCTTTTTTTTCTTTTTGCTCTATCACCCAGGCTGGAGTTGCAGTGGCATGATCTCAGCTCACTGCAACCTCTGCTTCCTGAGTTCAAGCAATTCTTTTGCCTCAGCGTCCTGAGTAGCTGAGACTACAGGCTCCCGTCACCACACCTGGCTAATTTTTGTATTTTTAGTTGAGATGGGGTTTCACCATGTTGGCCAGGCTAATCTCGAACTCCTGACCTCAGGTAATCCCTTGCCTTGGCCTCCCAAAGTGCTGGGATTACAGGCATGAGCCACAATGCCCGGCCTATGCCAGGAGAATTCTGATCTGAGTGAGAAGGAGGGAGCAGCGGGTGGTTGAGTGTGTGGCTCTGGAAGGAAGATGTGCCGAATTTGGGGTGGAGGTTCCCAGGTCCACTATCCCTTGGAGCCTGTGCTGCTGGCGACCCCCCACTTCCCCCCATTGACTCTGGCCCTCGGACCCTCTGCCTAGCTCTTCTCATACCCCACCCCAACCGTGATGCCCATTCTTGCCCTGGCTATTGTAGAGAAATCCCACAGTTGGGGCCTGGGGGGACCAGGCCATTCCTCCACAAGAAGGTTTTCTATCTAAGCACTTCCAAGGTTAAATAGCCCTCACTTCTCAAAAACACTTCTGAAGGTGAGCCTGCATCCGTGCCGCTACAGATGTCACAATCCCCAGACTCTAGCCACAAAGGGCTAGAAGGGCAGCTCTCAGGGACCCATTCCTGGAGATGGGCAGCACCTCTGGTCATGAGACCACAGCCCAAGCGGAGAGAGAGGAGACCTCAAAAGGAACTGTGTGTTCCAAAGGGGGCTAGCAGGCCAGCCGCCCAAAGTTTTGTGGGGTGCAGAGCTCCTCTGCATGTGCCCTGGTGCTTCCAGGAACTAGGTGGCCTCCCACCCACCCCGGGGCTGGGCACCTTACCCAGGGAGAGAATAAGCTGTGAGGCTGGTCTTAGGGTGCAAGGATGGCTGGCCGGGGTTGGGCTGGGAGGAAGAAGCTGCCAAGGCTTCTTGCTCCCGCCCCCACCCCTTCAGCCTCTCCCCCAACTCTTTACCACGGCTTACCCAGCAAAGGCCACCAGGGCCACAGCAGAATAGGGAGCCCAGGAGAGCACGAAGAGGAGGATGACCAGCAGCATGATCTTGGCCATCTTGCACTCGCTCTGCAGCCGCTGCCGCTGCCACAGGGACTCGCCACTCCCCTTGCAGGCCCCGAAGGTCTGGAGAGCCCTAGGAAGGACGCATAGTCCAGGTCTGACCCTAGTCGGGTGGCAGCGAGCACCAGGGTCACGGCTGCTATCGGGGAGCCTCCCTGGACTATCTTTGGGGGGCACTTGGGAGAGTGTCATTCCTTCCAGCAGTGCAGGCAGCCGTGACTTCCAGAAAGTTTTCTGTGACATGAAGGTCTTAGCTGCCCCCTACTCCCCCTTGATTCGGTGTGCCTTCTCTGCTCCCCTGGCCATGCCTAAAAGCCCTCCCCGGAAGCCCTTGTCTCCTGAGGCTCACCCTAGACATCGCTGCCCCGTAAGCACGTGCTCAGCCTGCCTTCAGCCGCTGGGCATGCTCTGGTAGGCTGGTGCAGGTGTGAGTGGTGGGGCAGGGGCCACCTGGCAGAGGGACTGGCCCCCCTCCTGTAGCCCCCCTCCATGCTCGGCTCTTACTGTCCTGTCTCCCGGATGGCCCTGAAGATGAAGATGTAGCAGTAGATGATGATAAGCAGAGGGAGGAAGAACACGAAGCAGCAGAGAAGCATGGTGTAGGCGCGCACAGCCGGTGTGAAGCTCATGTAGTCCCAGGAGCAGGATGTTAGCAACCCCTCGGGAACGTAGGCACCTGGGAGTGAGGGCAGGTGCTCAGGCTTCGTGGTGGCACTGACCAGGGCTCCTTATCTGGCAGGAGCTTTGTATGTGGCATTCGGGTCCCCATACACAGCCCTGGCCCCTGACCTGGCCCTGTCCAGTGCAGTGAGGAAGCTGGAGGGAATTGGGATGGCCTGCAAAGCCCACTGCCTCCCATTCCTGCTAGATTTGAGCAGAAAGCTCACCATAATTACAAGATGGTGCTTGCCAGGGCTTCAGCCAGAGGCCTAGTCTTGCCCCAGGAGGGCTACTACCTTGCTCTCCACCCTTCCACCTGCAGAGGCCTCACACCCCAGCCCCCTGCCTAGTCTGACTCAGCATGACAAGTACCTGTCACTTTGCCCCACCCAGAAAGCCTCTGTATTTTGGGATCAGCTGCCCAGGAAGTCCTTTGGCCCCTGATGGGGCAGTGTCAGTTTCCCTTGCTGCCAGTCACGTCCCCTGAATGTCCATCTGACCTGAGGCTCAGGTAGTTCCTGGGCACCCCTGCCCCCGTCAGCTGGCTGACCCAAGTCCACCTACTTCCCCTTGAATGTGCCCCTCCCAGCCCATCTGCCCCACTTCCAGTTCCAGCATCCCACTTACTCCAGCCAAAGAAGGGTGGCAGACTCCAGGCCAGGGCATAGAGCCAAACGCCCAGCAGGACAAATGCCGCGCGCCTCTTGGACGCCACACCAATGGTGGCCAGCGGGCGTGTGATTACCAGGTAGCGGTCCAGGGCGATGGCCGTCAGGGTGATCATGGAGGAGATGCCAAAGAGAGCCCCACAGAAGGCATAGAACTCGCAGCCTGTGGGCACAGCCCCTGCTCTGAGTCCTGGGGAGGAGGGTCTGGGGATGGGGTGGACTCTGCTCTGGCCCTCGCCTCACAGGAAGAGCAGGCCTGAGCACACTCCACCCCCTCCACCTGCCACATCTGGCCAAGGCTGGCAGAGGCCTCAGGACCAACACTGCATCTTCCGTTCTTGCTTACTCACAGGACTGAGGGCAGCTACCCACTCTCTGCCCAGGCGCAGCAAATCACCTCCTTTGGGCCACCCACCATTGTGGGCATCCCCAGGTCAAAACCCTCCTCCTCCCTCGAGCAAAAGGGAGCCCCAGTATCTACCTGTCTCCCCAAAGAGCCAGTGCTTATAGAGGCTGCTGGCGAAGAAGACAGGGGCCTGGGTGAAGGACATGAGGAAGTCGCTGACTGCGAGGTTGATAATGAACATGTTGGCAGGTGTCCGGAGGCCTCTGCTCCTGGAAGGATCAGAAGCTGTTAGGAGGCACTTCCTGACACCTCCAGAGCTATGGGGAGCTTCCCGCACCCCTCAAGTACACATGTGCACACATATGCCACACACTCACACATGCACACACACACGGGCATGCAGACAGGCTTGAGCTGCCGGGCCACAGAGCTATCCCACTGTCCAGCAGGGACCAGCCAAGCAGCTGTTGAACCCAGCAGTGTGGGCTGAGTGAGGACCCCAAGACAGCTCCCTCAGAGTGAAGCAGGGGGCAGTTTCTCTCCAAAATCTGAGGCATGGCCCAGCACAGGCTGATTCTTGGGCCATGTCCCTTTCCTCTTCTCGCCCTCTAAATTCCTCTGCACAACTCACACCATCTCCTTGGCCAATTCACTGGTTTCCTTGAGTCCCTCCAGGCCAAGATCTTCCTAGAGGTTTCTCCCCAGGCTCCTCCTCCTGCGTACCCTGACTGTGCTTTCCCATGGCTTCTTATGCCTCCCTCCTCCTCGGGTCCCCTTCCACCCTCCCTCCAGTGTCACATCCTGCTGGGGCCCTGCCCTGCACACTGTCTCTGTAGTCCTCACCCTTGGGGACGGCAAAGGGCAGAGGAGCTGATGGCTGTGCACCACGGCTGGGCCAGGCACTTTCACCAGCCTCAGCTCCTGTCATCATCCATCTTTGCATCCACCCTGAGGGAGGCGTCATTGTCCCCATTTTCCAGACAAGATGCCCCCACTCATGAAGTGACTTGCTCTAGTGCACAGCACTCAGTAAGTGGCTCATTTGTGGGGCAATGCACATCCAGGAACTTACTGCATCATCACAGTGACTCCATGAAGCACAGCTCCATTTTGCAGGTAAGAAAAGTGGGCTCAAGGAGGAGAAATTAGGTGCCCAGTCCTTTAGCTAGCAGGTGGGAGAGCCAGAGGGCTGTGTGGCCCTGGAGCCTGGGTCTCTTTCTCCATCTGCCTGTCTCAGTCACTGAGCCAGGCAAGGGGGCAGATGGAGAGGGACACTGGGGGTGGGTGTCAGGGGTGTTTGAGGGACTTGAGGATTCTGGTCCCCAGGTATGCTCTTTTTTGGGGGGTGGGGGTGGAGTCTTGTTCTGTTGCCCAGGCTGGAGTGCAGTGGCATGATCTTGGTTCACTGCAACCTCCGCCTTCTGGGTTTAAGTGATTCTCCTGCCTCAGCCTCCTGAGCAGCTGGGATTACAGGCCCATACCACCGCGCCTGGCTAATTTTTGTATTTTTAGTAGAGATGGGGTTTCACCACATTGGCCAGGCTGGTCTGGAACTCCTGACCTCAGGTGATCTGCTCACCTTGGCCTCCCAAAGTGCTGGGATTATAGGTGGGAGCCACCGCACCCGGCCTAGAGTGGCTCTTCAAGGCAGGGGGAGGATGCTCTCTGGGGCAGGTGATGGCAGAGGTGCGCTGAGAGCCGGGCAGAATGGTCAGAGACCCACATATTCTGGGCACACACACCCTCCACAGAGGATGCACCTGGGTGTCAATTAGTGCCAGTCAGTCAGGCCTCCCTGGACCATTTTTGGCTCTTTCCGTGACCTTGAGGAAGATCTGGGCCTGAGATCATCGAAGGCATGGCCCTGCCCTCCCTGCCTAGGCTCAACACTGCCCTGGCCAGAGTTAGAGCCAACATTTCCTGCCCGCATGTTCTTCCTGTCTGCATGGCTGCCACCCTCAGTGCCCTGGGCCCAGCACCACCAACCAGGCACCTGCAGAAGGTATAGATGACCGTCAGGTTGCCCAGCATCCCCGTGAGTCCCACCAGCAAGATCACTGTGCCCAGAGTATAGTGGGCATGGTCTGGAACATCAACCGTGGGGAAGGGGACCCAGGCAGCAGCCCAAGTCCCAGCTGCCTGCGGAGAGACAGAGAAACGAGGGAATCACATTATCCCTTGTCACCTTCAAATAGTCCTGAGAAGGAAGACTTAGGATTCTCAACAGGGCAGGAAAACTGAGGCTCAGAGTGGCAAAGCCACTTGCACACACAGCTCGCAAGTGGCCAAGAAGAATGGAAGTGCAGGTCCTTTCCAGAGTCGAGCCCAAGCTCCTAGACCATGGCATAGGGGCCTTCTAGGAGTGGGCTCAGATCACCTGCTAGAGACTGGTAGGACAGACAGATACGTACCTGGCAAGCAGGGACATGGCCTGGGTCACCTTATCTTTCCTTAAGGAGAAGGCAGAGCCAACTCCTGGGTGCATCCCTGCCTGCAGTATGAACTCCAGCCCAAGGGCCCAAGACAGTGTTTGAGGCCTCTAGATGCTGGGGTTGTGAGTTGGGTGGAGCCCCTCTCAGGAGTCCTGTCCCCTACTGAGCCTTAGAGAAGTTGCATTGCCCCATAGCGTAACTGGGTACAGCTGACCTTGATGCCTGGCATGAGAATGAAGGGAATTCCCTTTAGAAAGAAAGCTTAGGCCTCCAGGGTCACTGAAGGGAGGTCATGACCATATCAGGTCAGGACAAAGGGATTTAAAGACTCCTCCCACCCTAACCCCTTTCTGGGGAAGAGAGGGTGGCTTGGTCTCTGTCCTACCCCAGTGGCCCCTATAGCTACCGGAACCTTCCCATCCTGTCCAGCACCTGGGCCAGCACCCCCAGGTCCTGAGGGTGCCCCCAGCCCTCCCCAGCTAGCAGTGGTGTTGATGGAATATGGGCCCTGGGCCTGGGCTAGGATGATGGAGGTGGCAGAAGGTACCCAAGGCTTCGCTGTGGGCTGGGCAGATCCAGAGGCCCAGGGTGTGCCCTTCTCTCTGAAGGGCTCCATGGGGCATCCAAGCAACCTCTAAAAGGAATGAGTGCCGCCGAGGACAGGTCTGGCCATTCCAGCCCCTTGTCCTCAGGGCTGGCCTTTCTATTCCTTGAATACTCTCCATTAGGAAGGACATTGCCTGCACCCTCCTTTATCAGCCTGTTTATTGGGGGCGGGCTCAGGGAGGTCCAGTAATGGCTCAAGGCCCCACAGCAGAGTTCAGATCTTTTCTATCTCCCGCTCAAAGCCCCTGCGTGTGGCCAGGAGGGGACCAGGAAGGGGATAGGGAAGTCTCTGTGCATGCACATGCTGGCCCAGGCTTACCGTGGGACTGACGGATGGAAGCTGGCCCAGGCTGGAGATGCTGCTCTGGGAGCTGTCCCACCTGCTGGGTGGGGCTGGGGTGGCCATGCAGCTGGGCTCCTGGGTTGGGCTCGGCGGGACTCTTGGCCCTGAAGGAGGGTTCATCCTGAGTTGGGATGGTCCTTGCTCGAGCCCACAGAAAAGTCAACGGCACAGGGAGCTCAGGACTTCAGCTGTGCTCAGCCTCCCAGCTTTCCTCCATCCTCAGCACCCCTGCTCAGCCTGCCCGCTGCTTTCTCCTGTGTCTGGTGCAGATCCAGCCTGGAGCTGCTCTTGGGGCTGGCGGTTGCTCTGTGTCTGGTGAAGCACAAAGGAGTGAGTGTCGCAGTTATGGTGACTCAAAGCCACAGAGTTCATCCCCATCTTTATATAGTGGTGCGGGAGCTGCACATGCTCAGTCGCTCCATGCCTCCAGCTCACTCCGACCAAGGTCCCTGGGTGTCTATCTACGAAGGTCTGATGATGGTGGTGTGAATGTGTGTGTGAGTGTGTATGTTTCAAGGGAGATTTCTGGATGATGGTGGTATGACTGTGTGTGAGTGTGTGTGTATGAGTGTGTGAAAGTGTGTTTCAAAGGAGACTTCTGGGATGATGATGTGAATGTGTATGTGAGTGTGTGTGTGTTTTTCTTTTTTTTTTTGAGACAGAGACTCGCTCTGTCGCCCAGGCTGGAGTGCAGTGGCTGGATCTCAGCTCACTGCAAGCTCTGCCTCCCGGGTTTACGCTGCCTCAGCCTCTGGAGTAGCTGGGACTACAGGCGCCCACCTATTTTTTTTTTGTATTTTTTAAGTAGAGACGGGGTTTCACCGTGTTAGCCAGGATGGTCTCGATCTCCTGACCTCGTGATCCGCCCGTCTCGGCCTCCCAAAGTGCTGGGATTACAGGCTTGAGCCACCGCGCCCGGCCGCGTGTGTGTGTTTTTCAAGGGAGATTTCTGGGATGGTGTCGTGAATGTGTGTGTGTGTGTGTGAGGGTGTGTGACTGTGTGTGAGAGTGTGTGTTTCAAGGGAGATTCCTGGGCTCGGGCTCCTGGACATTGGGCAGAAGGCTCTGTCCTCTCTTTTCACCAGTCTCTGTTGTGTTTCTTCCCTGAGCTCATCAAGAACAGCCTCAGCTACCCCAAGAGCCCCCAGAGCTGTTTGTGGTCAGCTGAGGCTGTGCAGCTCAGCCTCACCCTTTCCACAGTGGGCCCTACCGCTATGTTTGGCCCCCATGAGCCATGGCGTTTTCACAGCCACCCTGCATAGAGCCAAGGCTGGTCACCCCTTCACAGGTGGAGACAGTAAGAGGATGTAGCATTAGGGTGAGATCAGATCATGAGGTGGCTTCTGCTTGTTTTTTGATAAGAAAGTTTTATTTTTTTATTTTATTTATTTATTTTTGAGACAGAGTCTTGCTCTCTCGCCCAGCCTGGAGTGCAATGGTGCCATCTCAGCTCACTGCAACCTCCGCCTCCCAGGTTCAAGCAATTATCCTGCTTCAGCTTCCCAAGTAGCTGGGATTACAGGCATCTGCCACCACACCCAGCTAATTTTTGTATTTTTAGTAGAGACAGGGTTTCACCATGTTGGCCAGGTCGAATTCCTGACCTCAGGTGATCCGCCTACCTCGGCTCCCCAAAGTGCTGGGATTACAGGCGTGAGCCGCTGGGCCCGGCAGAAATTTTTAAAGTATAAAGATTTTTTAATTTTTGGAAGAGTCCCGGGAACTCACCCAGGCCTGCAGGCCTGATCCAAGTTGAGGATGTCAGAAGTGGAGGGGACCCCGGGCCTGCCCCTTGCCCTGTCTTAGAGGAGGCAGCAGGAGCTGGAGAGAAGGGAAGCTGAATACACGGCTGCCAGGGAGGGCCGCTCAGGCTAGGCCTGCCACAGAGGCTGCGTTTAGGGGAACCCGACCGGGCAGCGGTCATCCTATGCGGGGGCCATGTCCTGGCACAGTGCTGGGAGTGGTGGAGCCCTGGAGTGGACAAAGATATCACTTCTCTTCCAGAAGTTCCCCCAGTCTTTACAGTTCTCCCAGAGCCCCAGGTTTAAGCAGAAGTGGGAGCAGCCTCACTGGGAGCCGGAGCTGCACTTCCTGCAGCTGCCAGCCCATGGCTCACACTGCCCTCCTCCTGAGGCTCTTCCACTTCAGGGCTTTGGCTCACAGAGGCCACCCTGTGAGGCTGAAGGGCTGGCATTGCTTTCTGTCCCTAGGCTCAATGCCAGCTGTTTGCATTTTAATGTAGGGGGTTTAACAATTCCTCGCAGCTGGGAGCAATTCTGAGTCAACACAACGTCCCATTCAATATGGACCCCACTCTCTAACCTGCTAATTAAGACAAGGTGCAAGTGATGGAGCAGGCACGGGAGTCCAGGGGAGAAGTGCTTGTCAGGTGGACACAAGAGGCGGGAATCCACATGCCATACCCAGGGTGCCACAGACCTCAAAGGAGCACCTCAGGGAAAGGTCGGAGGAATCAGAGTCCCCCGCCTGGGGCCTTTGGAAGCCAACATCTCACCTGACAATATCCTTTCTCCATGGCCTGCACACTGCAGCCCTTGCGGGTGACACTGAGATCTCCTCAGGGCCCAATCCCCTCACTCCTGTGCTTCTGTCCCACTGGGGAGGCCCCCCATGGCTCTCATGCTCCCAACCTTTGCACCCCACACCAACCCGGCAGCTCGTCTGCCTGGAGCCTGCCATCCAATGGAGCCAGGAGGGCCGTGTGGGCAGCCTCAGCCTCCAGGTGTCTCCTACGACTACTGCTGCCCAAGCTGTCCTGGCTGGAAGCTGTGGTCTGACCTGTGGAAACCCTGGCCTTCCATCACCCGCCTCCGACCAGGTGGCTCCTGTCTTCCTGGGTGCCTGGCTGTGCTCACCTTCCCTCAGCACTTCTCCTCCTCTGCAAGCTTGGCTCAGGGTGGGGCCCAGCCTCTTGAGACCTGGGATCATTGATGGTCTCATGGGCCTGTGCCATCCAAGAATCTCAATGCAGGAACAAGTGTGGAAGGGGTCCTCAGAGTCTTCCCAGTCCCCACTCTGGCTGGTCTCCCACTCCCTTGGAGACCATCCTGGGCATCTCCTCCTCCCCTGGTGCCATTCCCAGGGGCAGGCTGCTTGGTGCCAGGGTTGCCGATGGTCCCAGGGACCCCTGCACTGATAGTGACATTTCCCCTCCTGTGGCCCCCTTTGTTCTGGTTCCTCCCTTCCAGCCCTTGCTTCCTGATGCAGCCTTAAAGGCAGGTGGAAACACAAATTCCAGATAATCCTACACTTAACCCTTTGGTGGCTTCCATAGCTCTTAAGACAGAGACAGAGCCCAAATGTGGCAAGGCGGGTGGAGGGAGGTACTACATCACCTGGTATGTGGGGATAAGAAGTGGGCTTTAGGGGGAAGCACATAACACCAAGGCTCAGCAGCAAGAGGCACGTCATTTCCTTTGTGTGTGCATGGGCCAGGCTGCTGTCACTGCATGGGGCTCAGTGTCCCCAGAGACCTGCCCTTGCTCTTGCCCCTTTTCCATGCATGCTCCAGAGTAGCCTTGTTTGCGGGACGAGCAGCCGAGCTCAGGCGCCGGGCAGTCTGGGTGTGACTGCCAGCTGATTGGGGAGGTGTCTGAGAGCTCCAACTGCCAGCACCTGGAGACCTTGCTGAAAGCTGGATTAGGCCTTGCAGGAGGAGGAGGCCTGATCCCTTGGGAAGCTGAGTTCAGGTGAGTCTTCTCTTGCTGAGAGAGGAGGAGCCACTGAACCTGCCTAGCTCTGTGCCTGGAGACCAGGTTGGCCTCCTCTCAGATCACTGAAGGCACACAGCTCCTCTGGTCACCCAGCCTCCGCTCACACACTGCTCCTGAAACCTTCCCCTGTCCCCTACTCTGGGTCTCAGCTCAAATACCACCTCCCCAAGACTGCCGAGGGCCCAGCTGTTCACCTCCTCCTGTCCATCCCTCAGAGCATCCACGGATGGTGATAGTGTCATTTGCAGTGATTGTTGTCTGACCATGTCTGTCTCCCTCCTTGGAATGCAGACAAGTTGGTTTTGTTCATCTTTGAGACCCACTGCCTAGCAAAGCACCTGACACATAGTATCAGGAAACCCAGAATCTCCCTGGTCCTTGCTTCTCAAAGTGTGGCTGGAGGACTGGCTGCTGACGTGCACCCCTCCTGCAGCTTGTTAGAAGCGCAGACTTCCCAGACCTGTGATCAGGTGTGGATGCATGAGGATGGCCTCACATTAAATGGGAGAGGTGCTGGTATAGACGCTGGGGAGGACTTCAGGGGTTGGTAACAGGTGGTGGAAGAGCTGATCTGAGGGGACACTGAGGCACCCCAGAGATGAGCACCAGTGGAGCGCACTGCCGTGGCCGAGGCTGGAAGGACCACAGGAGGAAGGGGCTGCTGTGATTCCAGGGGCTGGGGCTCTCCAGCTGGGTGCCACCAAGGCAGGGCACTCACAAGGAGGCACGGCTGGCTGCTGGAGAGGTGCGTGGTGAGCAGAGCAGGGGCGTGGGGCCCTCACTGCCAACTCTGGCCTCCCATCTTCCGCAGGAGCCCCGCCATGGTCAGGCCTACCCACAAACCTGGGAAGGAAACTGGGGAGATGTGGTTCCTGCAACAGAGACCAGAGCAGGGCAAGGGTGATGGAGCACACAACAGCTGTCACTACAGACGTGATATCCTTCCTTCCACCCACCCTCACCTGCCACCATAGCCAGTAGATGGTGTGTCCCCAACCCATGGCCTGTAGGTTAGCCCTCCCATGTAACCCACAGGTGCTCTTGGGTGGGCAGCATTTGGTGGCTCGCTGCCTGGCCAGCCTCTGGATCAGCCTAAGCCACCCTTCTGCTCAGCCTGGCTTAGGAGTCTATGGCCCATCACCTCTGCTCTGCCCCTTGTCGCTCCAGGGAGACGCAGAGGACTGAGCGTGCGCAGTAGTACATGTAGCCCCAGCCCACAGCTCCGCACTGACTGCTGCCTGCTCTTCACACCTCGCTGGCATGGTTGGAGGTGGGAAAAGCTTTCTAGCCCCTCATCCTCAGGGGAGTAGCAGGGCCACAAGGGCAGGAGGCCCGAGAGCTGCCCTGGGGCTGCACAGAGGGTCGAGGGCCAGGCTGGGGCAGCAGGAACAGGAAGTGTGCTATTTAGAAACGACTCAGCAGCAGGCCCTCGGCAGACGCATGACCGCGCTCTGGGGGACTGGAATCAACCAGCCGTCCTGGCCACTGCCCACAACCCCCGACGGATGCTGACTTTACTTATGGGCCTATGGGCCCCATTATTCCTGTCCCCTGTACATATTTTCTGAAAGCCCTTCAAGAAGAGCTGAAAGAAAAGCTAGGAGCCCTGGAGTCTCCTGGCCCCTGCGTTTTTGTATTTCTGGCCACAGTACCGACTGTCCAGAGAGGAGACGGGGCTCCCTGCCCTC